TAATGCCCTCTTTAATTTCTTTGTTCAGAATTCTATAATTTTTATGTTCAGGTTGATTCCTAGGTCTTTATTTTTTTGAAGCTATCAAGAGTGGAATTGTTTTCCTGATTTTTCTTTTTGGTGGGATCATTACTAGTGTACAAAAACACTATTAATTTTTGTGTGTTTATTTTCTATCCCGTGACTACTAAATTTTTCAGATCTGGAAGTCTTCTGCTAGAGTTTTTTTGAGCTATTTTTTTGTAAAGAATCTGTCATCTCCAAATAGGAATAATTTAACTTCTTCCTTTCCTATTTTTGTTCCTTTTACTTCTTTCTCTGGCCCGATTGAAAGTTTCAAGTACTGTATTGAACAACAGTAGTGAGAATAGACATTCTTGTTTCATTGCTGATTTCAGAAACAATGCTTTTGTTTTCCCCATTCAGAATGATGTTGGTTGGTGATGACTTTTATCATTTTAAGATAAGGTCCTTCTGTGCTTATTTTTGATAGGGTTTTCATCATGATGGGATACTGAATTTTGTTGAAGCTTTTTCTGCATCTATTGAGATGGTCGTGTGATATAACTATCCTTCATTTATATTGTGTATTACAATTATTGACATATATATTGAACTATCCTTATATCCCTGGGATGAAGCCCATTTGGTCATGCATGGTGAATGATCATTTTAATGTACTGTTGAATTCTGTTTGCAAGTATCTTATTGAGGCCTTTTTCATTGAAGTTCTTCAACAATATGGGCCATTAGTTTACTTTTTGTTGGATTCTTATCAGTTTTGATATCAGGATAATGCTACTTTCATGGAATGAGTTTGAAAGCATTCTTTCACTTTCAATTATATGCAAAAGTTTGAGAAGTATTGGCAATGGTCCTTCTCTTAAGTTTACCAGAACTTGTGTGCCTTTCATTGTTGGTAGAGTTTTTATTATTGCATCAATGTTATTGATTGTTCAGGATTTTTATATCTTCTTCATTCACATTTGGTAAGTCATATATGTCTAGAAATGTATCCATTTCTTCTAGATTCTTCAATTTGTTGGTTAGAACTTTTTTAAATTGTTTCAAATAATCCTCAGGATTTCAGTGATACCTGCTGTAATTTTATTCTTTTTTCCAGTTCTAATTTGTTTGACTTAGGTCCTCTCTTTTGGTAAGATTGGATAAGGGTTTATCAATCTTGCTTCTCTTTTCAAAGAAGCATTTTTTTAGTGAATTAGCCTTTACATTATGTTATTTTTTGTATCAATTTCAGCTCTAATCTTGATAATTTCTTCTTTTTTTTACTCTTCTGGGTTTTGGGTTGTGTTTTTCTAGGATCTAGAGATGCATCATTAGATTATGTATTTGGTACTGCTATTTTTCCATTGTAGGCATTTGTAGCAGTCAACTCCATTTTTAGAACTTCATTATGTCTCATGGGTTCTGATATATTGTGTTTCAATTGTCATTTGATTGTATGAAATTTAAAATTTCTTCTCTGGTTTCTTCCATGACCCATTGATTCTCCAAGAGTGTATTATTTAATATGAATGTGTTTGTGTCTCTTCTTTGGTTAGCTTTTGCTGATTACTGGTTTCATCCAATTCTGATCAAATATGATGTATGCATTTATTTCAGTTCTTTTGTATTTATTAAGACAAGCTTTATGACCTAAAATATGTTCTGTTATTGAGAAAGCTTTTTCGGCTGCTGAAAAGAATTTATGTTGCTATTATTTGATGAAGCAGTCTATAGATGTCTACTAAATATACTGTTCTATGTAATGGTTCAACGATTTGTTGATTTTTTGACTGGCTGACCCATTTGTGAGAGTGGGATATTGAAGTGCCCTTCTGTAATTGTATTGGATCTATCTATATTTTTATGTGAAGAAGTTTTTGTTTTGTGAAACTAGTATGCTTATATTTATTGCATATATATTTATAATTGTTATATCTCTTAGTGAATCATTCCTTTTACCAATACGCATTGACCTTCTTTATCTATTCTTTATCTATTCAAAATAGATATATCTATCTATTTTGAAGACAACTTCATCAGAAAATAGAATAGCTCCTCCTGCTTGCCTTCAGGTTCCTACTTCTTGGACTCTCTCATTTTCCATCCTTTTGTTTTTATTCTTTGTGTGGCTTTGGGGATAAGGTATGTGTCTTGTAGTCAATATATAGTTGGATCTTTTTTTAATCCAATGTGCCAGGGTGTGTCTTTAATTGGAGAGTTAAGATTATTTACATTGACTGTTATTATTCAAACATATGTACTGAGTCTTGTCATTTTATTGTTTTTCCAGTACTTGATTTCTTTGTATTTTCCATGCATTTGGCTACTATCACAGTGATATTTGCTCTTTTCCTTGGATTTTTGGATGTTCTTGTCCTTTTTGTCTCTGTTTAGGATTTCTATAAATATTTTCTAAAGTACTGACTTGGTAGTCATTGTTTTCTATAGTCTATTGCTATCACAGAAAGTCTTTATTTCTCCTTCAATTTTGAAGGACAGACATAGGGTATAGTAATCTGGGTTAGCATCAATTTCTTTAAGGTTTGCAAAACTTCATTCCATTCTCTCCTGATATTTAAGGATTGTGTTGATAAATCTGTTACTATTCTTATGGGTTTGATCTTATAGGTAATTTAGCACTTCTAACAACTTTTAGTATTTTCTTTTTGTTCTGGCATCTTCAGTATGATATATCATGGAGAGGTTCTTTTTTGGTTATGTCTATGGTGGGTTCTAAATAATTCCAGTACCAGAGTATCCCTCTTATTTTCTATATTTGGTAAATATTCTGCAATAATTTCAGTGAATAAAGTTTTATGCTAGTTGCTTTTTATTTTCATCCCTTTCTGAAGATCAATGATAACCTGTATGTACTTTTGAAGACATCTAGGTGATACCTATTTGAGATCCCAGTAAAGTTGCTGGAACTACATACTAGAGATCTGGTTTGCAGATAAGAATTTGGGAAACAAATGAAATGCTATTTCCAGCCACAGATCTAAATAGACTGATTCGGGCTCTACTTCACAGTCACTAAATCATAAAAGCACAAGAAAGGTCCTGCAATCTTGTAGTTGTATCCACTGAGTTCCAAGGGTTCCTTGGTCCTGGTCCCTGTAGTAGAAGTAAAGAAGGCTTCAGAGTGTCTTCTAGTGTTGAGAATGCTTCTTTCCCTAAAATACTTGGCCAGGGCAAGTAAGATGCCCTATACCTTTAAAAAAAGTTTTGGTTTCCTTAGTAAGTTCTATTATCCTCCACCAATCACCCTTTGCCAAATCCTGTCTCCACAACTAATGTTTTCTCTGAGATGTTATAAAATGATATATAAATGAATCTTCAAACATGCCTTCCAGTCAGAAAACCACTCATAAAACACCTATAGGAAAATATTCTGAGGCCAGGACAATTAAATTTTAGCTTGAGGGAAAAGGAAGAATTCTGATATTAAATATTTCATCTCAATTAAATTCATGTACCTCAAAAATGAAACCAGAGCAGTAAAACTAACTTTAGAAGTAAGCTTTCTTAGGGTACAGTGTTTTTTGTCTATACCTGATATATATATATACATATATATGTATATGTAAATTTTGAGGATAATGTATTCTGATCATTTCAACTGTAGATACAACATATTATGATATTATTTTAGCAATTATGTAAATACAAAATTATTTTCCAGCCTCTTCATTTGTAGATTGCACTTCACATAGGAAATTCTGGATGGAGAAATTTTAAAAGCAAATACTCATCTGTTTAAACACCTCAAAGATGTTGTTGTTTTCTGTCCAAATACCAGCTAGGAAAATCAATATTTTCTTCTGGACAGAAATGATTTTGCTGCTTAAGTATCACCAAAATGCTTTCTAACAAAACTATGGCATTCAATCTTAAAAAAAAAAACAACAAAAAACTGTGAAGATGAAAAGGAGTTGGAGCTGTTAAGTAAAAAAGTTTTGAAAATAATGACATAATAATGAGATTAACTACAGATATTTAGCTTTCTTAAATAATTGCTCCTTATTTTATGTAATGATTAATTAGCTTTGCTGCTTGTATGTAACAGAATTTTCCAAATACTAAGTCATTGCTCCTAGGCTTGCCCCCACCAGCATGTGGCTACTTATTGGCCTTAAAAAATTGTGTTAAACATTGAAGTCTTTTCAAAATAATCTAAGAAATAATTACTAACTTGTAATAGTTATTTAATCATTTGAGTCAAATGTCATTTTTAGAATTGATAAAAATGAATCATGTTACCATAGCCTTTACATAAAAATTAGACAAATTATTTTAATTTCTTAAAAACACCACTTATGATCTTCAATGCAAATATTTATTTTGATTTCAAATATTTTGCTATTATATGAAATAAAATTAAACAATTTAGTATACATATATGAATTTTTTCTTGTTCACTTACCAACTTTTCCAAGGATTTGACATGGTATTTAGTAATCCATAATATAAAATCAAACAAAAATCAATGAAGAAAAAATCAAGTAGGTATCATAGATGGGAAAGAAATTCAAGAAGAAAGGAAAGTTAAAATACATCTGCCATCATTGTGAGGATTATATTTATATAAATTTCTCATAAAATATACACATGGTGAATAAATAAGCATTAACAAAAATCTTGAAAATTTTATTAAAGAAAAACAGACACATAATTCAGTTAAGCTTTGATTATGAGACACTAAATTGATAACAATTTATATTTAGCTGATAATTATTGAATCCATGAATTATAAATACTTTGTGATAAATATTTGCATTTCAAAAGTCATAACCAATGGAAGAACTGTTTTTTAATGTCTATTTAATGTACTAATTGGATGGTACTAAGAAAATCAGTGTAGTAACAGCTGCACATGCAATTGAATTTGATGGGATTATAATTATAGAGACAAAAATTGCTAGCAAAGTAAACAGAGTGAAACTGCTGAAATGAAAATAGCACAAACTGATTTGTGTTTCTCTGAAAAATTCCAGGTGTTGTCAAAGTGGATTATGGAGATGTGTCAGTCAGAAAAACACTAAGAGAAAATCTGAAGTGTAAGCCCTTTTCTTGGTACCTAGAAAACATCTATCCTGACTCCCAGATCCCGAGACGTTATTACTCACTTGGTGAGGTATGAATTATTTATTTTGGTTGTTATAAATGTATTTTGCAAATGGAGCAATTTCTAAAGAGCTTACTATTTTTTCATGTACTGAATAAAATGCTGTAAGGCTTTTTAAATAGATCTATTTAGATGACTTTATTTTTCAAGGACAAAAAGGATCCTAATTGTAGGGAACTGTAAAAGTAAGGGGAAATTTTTAAACTGAAGAAATAATGTTTTCTTGTTCCTCTACATACATTTCTAAAACTTTTGGTCTTACAAATATTAACTCTTAAAATATTTCGTGAACTCCAAAGAGCTTTTTGTTTACGTGAGTTAGAAATATTAATATTTGAAACTAAAACTGAGTTAAAAATTTTATAATTCATTAAAACAATGTAATAATCAATTGCATCATAATATAAATAACACTTTTTAAAAAATAAATATGTTTTTAAATCAAAATCAAATAGTGAAAATACTCAGACCAAAATCTTTTATATTTTTGTAAACTGTGCTAAAGTCTGCTTAATAGGAGACAGTTGTATTTTCATATGTGCTTTGATATTTAGCCTATTAAAATATGATGCAATCAGTTGAAATACTCTGGAAAACTTCATACACACATGAGAAAGTATGAATACTGAAAGTCGTGTGTTGGTATTTTATAAAAATGATAAGACTTTCATTTATCTATATCATTTTTCCAAAATATTTTATTTAGTAGTATACAAATGGCTTCCTCATAGCTCTATAACACATATTAATATGTATTTAGAGGCTCAAAATAAGAATGATTTATCCTTTTAATTATATGCTCCATACTAATAATTTCTCAAGAGATTAGCTTTCTGAGTCAAAGTTAATTTAATATTAGTGCTGATAAAAGCATTTCACCAGCAATAATACAATGCATATGGCAAATAATTTATTAATTATGCATGACGTTTGTTTTAAGTTGCCACATTTGTAGGCCAAGATGGTAGACTATCTAGCAATTTATATGGCTCCATATATTACTTTTTTGATCACACTGTTTACTGCTCTGAGACATTATAAACACATTTATGTGTAATAAAGTAGAAAACAATGAAAGAAAAAATGCTTGACCTAGATGGAACCCTCACTGAATTGTTTTTAATGACTACTTTGTATGCTTTATCCACCCTTACAGAAAAATCTCTAGTTCCTCCTTAACTGTGTCAATATTTATTTATAGAAATTTCAGTTCACATGTGTAATCTGAACAGTAGTGAAAAGTTCTGTGTGTAATAACACTGACTTATACTTTCTATGTATGTGACTATAGACAGTCCTGCCTCATATTATTTTTTATATGTACCTTGTGTTTTCTAGTTCTGCTAAATTCAAATACAAGTTCTAGGAGCTCCTAGAAATTTCTTAGTATTTTCTCTGTAGATGATCATTTCATCTACATATAAAGATTTTGCTTCTGCCATGCCAATCCTATCCTAGTTGTGTCATTTTATTGCCAGACTATTTTGGTGGGGACTAGGTTTCAAAGTTTAATGGACAGATAAAGAGTAAGCATATCTGCCCTTGTTCCCCACCTTAGGGAGAAAGCATTGTATCTTCTCCATTTATATAAGGCGTTCTCGCTGGAAGTATGGAGTACATGTCTTTAATCTGTTGAGAAAGTTCTGTTCTACTTCTAGTCTCCTGATAGCTTTTACCATGAACAGGTATAGAATTTAGTCCAGTACTCTTTCTCCAACTAGTGACAAGATCATATGGCTTTTTCCTTTCCTCTGTTAAAATGATGACTTTTGGGGGTGGATCTTCCAATGCTGAACCAACACTGCCATCCCTATAATAAAACAACGTTCTACATACTGCCAGATCTGACTTGTAAGAGTTTGTTTTGTTAAATAAATTTCTATCTATGTTCATACTTTTTTCTTCTATTATCTTTATCCAGTTTTAGGATTAGCACAATGTTGATTTCCTAGAATGAGGGGAGAAGTGTTCCTTCTTTTTTCTGCTTTAATTGTTTGATATAATTTATCAGTTAAAATGTTTATAAGCCTGCTGTTGTCATATAGGTAGGTTTTCAGAATATTATTTTGTTACTGCTATTTGTTTACCTCTACTAAGGAGTATTTTTGCTGTTTTTTCTAAAATATGATATACCCATGTGAGTGCTGATATCACAAGGATTTATATTCAACACACAGCTTTTATGAGAGTGATTTTAAAATAAAATAACCTTTGCATTGCAATCCACTGAAGATCTGTGATAAAATACCTAACACTCTGTTTTGTGGAGTGTGTTTAACCACACACCTCACAAAACCCTTAGAAGAAAGATGTGTTTCTCTTCTTGTAATAAAGTATTTCTCTCATTGTTGACAATGAACACAAATGACTAAATGATAATTTCTTTTTTTCCAAAAAGTTTGTGTGGCCAGGGGCTAAACAAAGACCAGAAACCATCAAAAAGGACTTTTTGCAAATTCCCTTGGACCACTAGGTGAATCCTGAGACTCAGGGCTTTGAACCAGAATGAGATATTTATTTCCAAATTAAACAACAAATTTTATGCTTTCCCACACTACACTAAGGAAACCTAATTGACTTCCTTAAAAAGTAAAAATAAAATGTGGTGTGGAAAAATTCCTTTCTACAACCTATTGATACTGAATTAGCTATCTTCTGTAGTGGATCAAGTTGCTATACTTTAATTTCTAGAAATACTTTGTGAAAAACTTTTAAAGAGAGACTTTAAACTTTTCAAGATATTTGAAACATATCCACATGAGGTAGCATGATATACTGGAAAAATCTCATGGTCTAGAGTTAGGCAGAGGAAGGTTCAAATTCTGGGCTCACAATTTCCTACTTCAGCAGTGCCCAGTATCCTCTCTGTACCTCTATCAGCAGAATGGATATTCTCATACGGGGTTTTATTGATGATTGGGGACAGAGCATGTAGCACAATGCCTGGCACAAAGTAGTAGCCCAGTAGTTATGCTTATTATAACTGTTATAGCCATTTACTGATTTCTTGCTCTCTTAAAAATTGCTCTGGGTGACGTATATGTATAACACTATGTAACAATGACTCCTTGACTTGAGTTTTGTTATTCCCTGATAAGGAAACTGATCTGTATGTGCTCCTCTATGTGATTGGCCTATGAATCACATAACTAGTTAATTATTGAAGTCAGGTTTCAAATACCTCCAAATCTAACACTAATTTTTGATATTTTATTTGACTGGGAGAAAATAGCTGATTTTATTTTATATATATATATATATATATATTTATTTATTTATTTAAAATGCTTTTATTAAATAAAAGCTTGAGCTAAATCCTGTGTTATATTCTCTGGGTGCAAGACTAAATGAAGAAAGATGTTTGCTATTAAGCCATTCTACTCAAATGGGCAGAGGATGACAAGAGATGATCAAACAATCAGTAGAAATAAAAGGTGTCATACATGAGCTGTATGGCATGCCATCAGCCATTGTTTCACAAAGCCAATAAATTTTTTAATTCTATGAAATATATTAAGTTTTGAGATTTCTGAGTATTAATATGCTGTGTTTTTCCACCTTAAAACCAGCTTTAAAGAAATACAATCCAGCATCAGTTTCCATGGAAACTGAAGGGCAAATTCACCAAACACTGCTTCTCAATTCAATTTTGTGCAGGCATGTATAAATAATTTAAGATGGACATCTTTCTTGATAATGAGTTTGTGTTGAACTGTTAATGGACAACAGTCATTTATTCAAAGCTTTTTCTTCCTTATTGCCTGTCATTAACTACATTAACTATTATTGGAAGAATGCAAAAAGCTATCTTCTTTATTTAAGAAAGCATTTTCTCTCTAATAATTAGATTCTCAATGTTGTATCAGATGCACAAGCTACTTGTCATTAAACAAAATTATTTTTGAGGTATATTCATACTACTGTACTTCCTTATTAATTTTCAATAAGGGTTTTAGCATTTAGCAATGTATATATTCCTAAAACTTCACTGTTTTTAAACCTCTCTCTATTTAATATTGTCATATGATGGCTATTATAACATTTGTATTTATAAATTTCCTTGCTTCATTGGAATATGTAGAAGCCAATATGGTATTCAGTTTTCTCTCTCTTACATGTTTACATTTTACTTAAATAATTGAATTAATACTCTACCCAGCCCATAAATTACATGCAATTTCCAATGAGAAGTTAAAAGCTATGTGATTGCTTTGCACTAATACCTTTAAGTAACTTAATGAAGTATGTGCCTTCTAAACTCAGTAAGCAGCTCAAAATGGATTAAGGAAGTTGAGCTCTGTGCAGACCAAAATTTTTTAACTACCCCTTAAGCTTATGTCGATTTAACACAACCCTTCAGCTTATGTAGATTTAACATGGGAGGTTCTGATATTGTTCATATAAAGACTAATTCAAGTACAAGATTGAAAAGTGGCTTAGAATATCCTGGCCCAAACTTGGGGCTATGACAGGGTAGCAGTCTCAAAAAAGTAAAAAATCCGTAGTGTGAGATATTTGGAACACAGACCTATCAGAAAGCAAAAGGAAGGAGAAAAGGTTGTCTGGAGCCAAGTGACTTAAGTCTTGGTGTTTATAATTTTCATTTGCATGTTGGCGAAGATATTTTGATACCAGACTATGAATTTTGCATCTTATACTAGCCCTCAGCACTTTCTTTTCTTCTAATATCCTTTAACTATAGCAACCTGTTAATGACCTTGCATATATAGCATTGTATTTCTAAAATATTTTAAAACCAAATTGTAATAACTAAAAATAGACATCATTGAAGCTGCTTGAAAGATTTAAGGGTAAAATCAGGCACTGAAAAATGCAGAAGCTAAAGTCTTTAAAGGTTTACCCTCCTTGTTGATAGTCTGGAGATTTATTTATAGATTCACACTGTGCTTGACCCTTTAATAGGATAAGCAGTAAGAAAGCCTTCTTTTGGCTGATTTACACACATGTGGATGGTATAGTCATGATTATTTTTCCAAAAGTCTTGGGGA